ACTGAAGTAGGCGGGCGCCCCGGCGCGGGCGCGAGGCCCGTATGCGTCCTGAGCTCCGTCCAGCAGGGCCTCCGGCAGCCCCGCGCCACTGCCATGCATGCCTAGAGGGCCTGCCAGCTCGGCCAAGCGGGGCAGCTCCCCGGGGCAACGTGCGCCCAAAGCCGGCGACAGCGCGCTCGCCGGGCTCGGGTACATGAGCGGCGACGATGGCGCCAGGGCCTCCAGGGCCTCATCGTCCTCCAACTCGGCCGCCTCCCCAAGTAAGGGGCGGCCGCCTCCGCGGAAGTCAGCCCAGGCGTCGTAGTCGTCGCTGGCGTGCGAGGCGGGGCTGGCGGCCCACTTGGCGGCGGCGGGCAAGGGCCCGGGGGCTGATGCACCTGGGGGGCTGTGGTCCGGGCTCTGCTCCGGTGCCTGCAGCTGCTTCTTCTTGCTCGCCTTGCCCTTGATGCGCAGGAACTTGGCCCCGTTGTCCATGGACACAGCGCGGCGCCGCGGGGTCTTGCCGGTCTTGCCGCCCTCGGGGTTCAGCATCCACCAGGAGCTCTTGCCGGTCCCCTCATTCTGTACGCGGATGAACCGAGTGTGGAGCGACAGGTTGTGCCGGATGGAGTTCTGTGGCCAAAGGGGGTGGGGTGGGGGTAGAAAAGTGAGAAGATAAGAGATTGGAGCAGAGTCAGACAGTGCTAATAGGGCAATGGGGTTGGGAGGCCAGAGAAAGGGGAGCAAGTGTAAGAAGGAACCCAGTAGGACAAACCTAAGGGCGCCCATTTCTTCCCAAGAACACCCCCCTTACACACACACTCACTCACTCTCTCCTCACTTTGCAGAGGATGCTGCTGAAACTTTGGGCCCAGCCAGTTCACTGAGGTCAGACTCAACTCCAGGGCTACTGGAGACCTGCTTGGATCTGCAGTAAGGGAGTGGGGACCACCCCCCTCCCCTCGGCTGCCAAGCCTGGCTAGACTGCTAGCGCCCCCCAGCAGATTATGTAAGGGCTCCGTGCTGCCGCTGCGGCTCATTTTCCCCCCGCCCCCCCCAGCCTGGCATGGCGCCAGGAGCCCGAAAACCCAGGGCTCCAGAAATCAATCTCGCGGTGACTGATTAAGCCCTGTTTAGAACTAATTGCTCTTTCGTGTGTGGGGAGAATAAATTACCTGCTTTAATTTTGTGTCTTTAAAATGCAACTGCAGGTAGAGAAGACTGTTAACCCTTTGCTGGGATGGGATGTCGGAGGGAAAACTAGATAAGCTCGGACACCCCCCTACCCCCCAAGATGGGTGTGAGACTAAGACATTTCAGAGATGAGCCTCTAGCCCACTGGAGCTGTCTTGGACCCCAAGGAAGCCTTGGGTCCCATCAAGCCCCTCAAGGGCAGTCTACGCAGTCCTGCCTTTGGGTCAGCCCACTTCCCCAGCTGTGCACTGGGTCCAGCTCGTCCTCCACTCCTGGGCCTACCCTCCCTGTGCCCTTCACGCCCTTTCCTCTAGCTGGTAGAACTGTCACAAATCTGCACTTACGGACACAACCAAGGTTTAGAGTTGACGTGGCCTTGCTCAAGGCCACACAGGCCTGTGGCTGCCCCTCACTTCTTTTCACCCACACTCCCACCCTGGGGCTTCACCTCTCCCACCCTTTTTGCCACATCCTCTTCTCAGTTTCAGCAGTGCCAGGCTCCAGAGCTCCTGGCCACCACCTGCTTGTTCAGGCTTGCCCTTAGGACAAAGGTGGTGGTGGTGGAGGGGGCGGGGCCTAGAGTAGCACTTCTGAGGGCCTCCCAACTGGTGGGCCTTACCCTCCATCAGAAGGACCCGGGTGGACTGCCTGCCTAGCTATGTGACCGTGGGCCCTTAACTCTACCGCCGCAAGGCTAAATGAAATGCTCTGAAAAGGATGGTGATGGATGCACGCACTACCTCACCAGGCTGTCAGGGCCTTATGTGACACAGTTTGTGGAGCCACATGGTGCTAGTGAGATCCCCTCAGTCTCTCAAGAAGCCCACCCCTACTGGCTCACATGTCTCTGCCTCCACCTAGTCCATGGCATGCGCTGACCCCCGGCAACTGGGAAACAGGTACTGCCCATCTCATCAGCGAGGGATGAAAGCCCGGCAGGGATGAAACTGCTCTGCAGGCCCACACCTGGCAGGCAGCCGTGCCAGCTCTCACGCCTAGTCTACCCAGCTTGTGGGCCTGCTTGTACCGCCTTAATTCAACCCACCACATGGGTTACATGGGTAACCACTGCTTTGGGTGGGCGCTCCCACCTGCTACCTTCTCCAGTGAGTCTGTCCTGCTGCCCAAGGACCCTGGCCACTCTCCCCCAGCTCCAGATACTGACCGAACTCCCAAGGGCCTCAGGCTCCCTGTCTCTGGAACTTTCTGGCCTTGCAAGGCAACACCTGGGGCTCCAAGGTACCTCCTCCCATCCTCTCTCTGCTGGGCTTCTCCTGGGAATCTGAGAGGAGGGGAGGCTGGACCCCAAGGGAGTATTAGTCCCTCAAGAAGAGCCCCTAGCCCCACTCCCGCCCCTGCACCTGGTTCCCCAGCCCCTCCTCACACCTGTGTTCCTAGGGCCTTGGGGATCTCACAGTCACCTCCTCTCCCCTGAGACTGTCTGGCTTACTGGAGGCTACACTTCCCACCTCTCCACTTCCCGCTGGAGGTCAGTTTGGCAGCATCTCTTTGTCACTGTCACCTTATTCCAGCCCAGTTCCCAGTGCTGGGGAGGAGGGGAGCAGTCCCCGTCTGTATCATCCCGGATGCTCGGATCGCTCTATCTCATGTCATCATTACCTCGAAGCCTGGACAAAACAGAGATTGTGATCCCCAAGTCAAAGTGAGGAGAGTGGGGCTCAGAGAGGTTAGGTCAGTTGCCAAGGCCATCCAGCGTGAAAAGTGGCAGAGCCAGGTAGTGATTTCCCGTTGCCCTACTGAGTCTAAGGGGCATGGCATTCTGCCAAGGAGGGGAAATGAGTCTCCCAGAATTTCCAAAGAATCTTAAGAAGCTAGGACCCAAGCTCTCCACCCCTTGTTTTCCACATAAACGATCCCTCAAGGCTGGCAGCATGGGCAGGGTTATTAGCAGCTGCTGCCAAGCTGAAATTCTGAAATTTCTTACATCTCCTACTTCCTTTGTGACATCGGGGGGTGGGGGTGGGGGGCGGATGGGGGGGCCTGCTGGCGCAGCACTGTACAGTTTCTCAATATAAAAATTAATGTTTTAAATTACCACCTAGAACACAGGCTAACAGCCTATGAAGCTGTGCCCTTGCCCTTCCAATCCCCTGCCCAATAAGGCGCCCCTGACAGCTTTAGCCCTAGCCAGAAGTTTCTGTGGGTTTGGCCTAGGGTAGGAGCTACCTAAGGTTGCCTAGGACCCTGGTGGCAAAGCAAGGCTGAGACCAAGCCTGAAGCCCCTCCCTCTCCCACTCTGAGCCTCAGATGGGAAGGCTGGTAAGGAATGGAGATGGGATGGGGACCTTTTTATTCCGTTTCACACAAAAATTCCTTGAATCCACCACAGGGGCTTCTTTGTCTTTTTTTCCTAAGTAGCAGAACTCTTGGCAAGTAGACTCTAATACAGAACTGGAGTGGGGAGGCGAGCCCTTCCCACTCAGCACCCTTCCTTATAGAACCGGAAGCACTCAGGCAGGTACTGTGGCGGCCCCACAAGCGCAGTGTCTTGCCAGGGCCCTCCCAGGCTGGGGGTTCAGAGCTGCCAAGGACCCAAGCCTCTGACTCCTGAGCCAGGCTTTGTACCAGGTGTGCACCCAGCTGTGCCCCATGAGGGAAGGCAGGCCCTGCAGCCCAGTCTGGCTCCTCAGGGCCCAGCCACCTGGCACCAATCAGCTCCCAGCCAGGAGCCAGTGGCAAATGCAAATCCTAACTCTGGTTGCCTGAAAGGCCTCCTGGGAGGCCAGAGGCCACGGAGGAGGTGAGGGCGGCAGAGAAGGGCGATGGCTCTGCCAGGCAGCGGTAACCACGGCTCCCGCCCTCTCTGGGTCGCTTAGCAACCTGCCACCACAGCCATGGCCCCAGCATGCCCGGGCTCCCTGGGTGCCTAGAGCAGGACTCAGCTTCTGGGGCCTCTGGCTTCCTCATGGCTATATTCAGGCTTGGTGCTGGTTCCCAGAGAAAGGAGGAGCTCCCAGCTTCGTGGGCAGAGAGGAAGGGCACTGGGTTACATCGTGTACCCACCTGACTCACCCTCAGAATCTGGCGTGGGCCACCAGCCCCTCGGGCCTTGGTCACCAGGGAGAAGAGGCTGGCACAGGGCACTAGATCTAGATGCCAGTTTTGTCTCCAACACCCATGAGCTGTGCAAGCCTGGGGCAAGATGCTCAGAACCTCTTTCCTCCATCTGCTCCCACCCTCGACTCCCAGAAGTCCTCCACACAGTAGCCAGAGAGGGGCTTTTCAATACCTTGGATCATCTCCAGCCCCCCCACCCCCAGCTCACTCAGAGTAAAGGCAGACACTGTGCCATAGACCACAAGACTCTCCAGGTCCTGGGACTGCTCTCCGAGGGCCCTCCTTATAGGCCTGCGAACCTTCCCACTCCCACTTCAGGCCTTCCAAGCGGGCAACAGCTCGTCAGATCCCCACACACACTTATCTCCTACAAGGCTTTGCTCTTGTGTCCCCATTTGTAAAGCTCATACCCTCTAAAATCACTCCTCTGCCCTGGCATTTCTGGGCCCTGTTTAGCCTGCTCCATGGGAGTCCCCATGGCCAAGTGGGTTAAGCACTGGGCTGCCAACCGAGAGGCTGGCAGTTCAACCCCACCAGCTGCTAGCTTGAGGCAGTCTGTTCCTCTACAGATTTAGCCTTGAAAACCCAGAGGGGGCAGTTCTACTCTGGCCTATAGGGCTGCTGGGAGCTGGAATTGACTTGACAGGAGTAGGTTTTAGATTTGGTCTTAGCCTGTGTGAAAGCAATAATCACTTTCTAAGTTGAAATACAATTCCCTTCTAGGTGTTCTGTTCATGGCCTGGCTTCCATTAGACTAGCAGTCTCCTGAAAGTGGGACTGTCGGTATGTTTGTACTGTACCTCAGGTGCTGGGTACATTAAAAACAGTGACTGTTGAATGGATTCCCACACCTGGAGACCCTGTGCGCTGCATACAGTTTTCTGCAGTCCCTCTCCCGGTCTCTCTGGGTATACTCACACCAACCACAGATCGTGAGCTCAACCACTCAGTGCGGTGAAGTCCAAGCCCACTCATAGTGACACCCCCCATCCCCCACCCCGGTGCATTCCCAGACCTAATTGTTGACTGGGAGGAGAAAAGCCCAGTCTTTCTCGGGGAGCTGCTGGTGAAAACCCGTGTTTGTCAAGTGAATTAACAAGTGAAAGAATGAGTGAAAGAGAGGAAGTGAAAAAGAAAGGCGGGAGGGAGGGGAGGAGAACTGCTGTGAGGGGAGGCAGGAGGAAAGGGCCCCTCCTGTGGGGCAGGGGGAATGGAAGGGGACACGTGTGGGGGGGGCAGCTGGCACACAGTAGGAGCTTCTCCACGCTGGGTGGCAAGCAGAGGACACAAAGGAAATGCATGTGAGTGTAGACCACTCAGATCAGTGTGGTATCAGCAGGGTCCCCAGAAAGAACTTGAGA